TCTTCCTCGCGGAGCTTCTTGAGCTTCTTGAGGTAGACCGGGCGAGTGCTCTCCGTCACCGGGCCGGGAGACAGGCCGTAACGGCGGAGCTGGGAGAAAAGCTCCTCGTCCGAGAGCTGCTGAGGCGCCGAAGCCGCCGCCGCCGCCATTTTCTCTCCAGGGTGTTTTACAAGCTCCGCGCTACCGGAAGTGACGCGCCGCCCTAGACCCTGAACTAGACCGGACTGCGTCGCCCTCCCAGCGCCGCCACGAGCGCCTCGGCCAATGGGAGGCGCGGGAGGAGCTCACCTGAGCGGGAAAGGGCCACCTGAGCGGCCAGCCTTTCCCGCGGCCGGGGCTTTTCCACGTTTTCGCTTCGGGGTCCCGGCACCTTCTCCCGCTCCTTGCCGTTTTCATGTCTTGCTTGCTGTGCTATCTGCCCTGCCCTTCCCACTGCCATTCCCGGGACCTGCCTTGTTAAACCACACCTTGACCTCTACCCGAACGGGAAGGATGGCAAAGAAATCTACCGTGAAATCCATGGCACTGGTTTCCTCTCCATCCTCCTTCCCATTGCCAGTGGGAGCCGAGGGAGACTCAAATGAATCGTTGTGGCCAGACTCGCTTGTCCGTGTCCTTGTCTCGTGCCAGGCTTTCTCATCTAAGTGTTTCTCTCCACTCGACTCTCACCCCCCTGGCCCAATGACTTTAAGCTGCTCTCTGAGGAATCTTCTCCTTTCCTATGCCTAGGAAAGGTTTCAGAATAGACCAGTCACAATACAATTTTCCATAGTATTGGTTATTCGTTCATTAGTTGATTGTAAGATAAACATCCCCTGCTTCTTTGTTCTCGACCACCAGTTTTTGAAATTTGCCTAATTTTGTGACTGGGGTGGGGGTGGGGGTATGTAATGACACACCATCCCATTTATTTCCTTTACAGCACCTGTAGCATGCTTATTTGTTTGACAATATTCATAATTAGTCAGTTCTTGACATTAGTAAAAGCTTACTAAGTATTTGCTATATTAATATAATATGAGATTAAATTCTTACATAACAAAAGTGTTAGATGAAGAGGAAGAACCCTCCTGAGTAGTCAAAAACAATAGTGTCTAGAAAGCCTTATTTGCAGAGTAGACACTGAAATGCAGAGAAATGTGCCCAGTTTTGTGAAGATCTTGTCCCTTCTAAAATCCTAGCATAGCTGACACTTCTTGGGTACAAAATTCTAGCACCTGTACTAGAATTTATTGTGAACAATACCTGGTAACAATAGAGCAGTGATTGTGAGATGAAGTCTATTACCTGATTTACACCTGGAGCTCTGGTAGGGTAGTGGCTTCCCTGCCCGCAGAATGAATAAAGCTGGGTGCCTCCAGGCAGGAGAGTGGGATCCCCGTTGGCCATTTCTTGGCTCTAAAGAAGCTTTATAACACTTGCCAGAGCAAGACAGAGGTCAACAGAGCAGGACTGTGAAGCTGAGAGCCGGAGGACCAGTGAGAGATGAGCATGGCTGAAAAGAGGTGCTGTTGCAAAGAGATCCTTCAGGGCAAAAAATAACCCCCAAACCCAGAAAACATTATCCCACTATCCTTACTCCTTTGAAGCCTGTGTATTTCCCTAATAAACCCCCATAACCATGAATGTTGTGAGTTCTGTGTGGCCATTCCAATGGATTATTGAATCCAGCCAGAAGTAGAGTGTTGAGAAGGATGGTTGGTATCTGACCAGGACAAAGAAGGATGAAGGGTGGAGGCGTGTCTGCATTCTGCCTCACTGGAATCATTCTTAGGCAGATTCGGAGTTGGGCTCTGGAGAAGGACAGATGTAGACACCATTTCCCTACATACATACTACCTTTTTCAACATCTTGAATCCAACAGAAGAATAATATTTGTGTCCCATTAAGTCAATTCTCACTCTTAACTACTCTATAGGACAGAGTAGGACTGCCCTATAAGGTTTCCTATTCTGTGGTAGTAGATCCTTGGGTGTTTTCTCCCATGGAGCGGCTGGTGAGTTCAAACCATAGCCCTTTTCATTAGCAGCTGTGTGCTTTAACCATTGTGCAATTGAGTTACCAGAGATCCTTAGAATAATTTCACTCGCTGCCATCAAGTTGATTCTGACTCATATCACCCTACAGGACAGGGTGGAACTGGCCTGTGGATTTCCATGATGTAACTCTTTCTCCTGTGAAGTGGCTGGTGGATTCGAACTACTGACTTTGCAGTTGCCAACCCAATGATGTGTAATGACTATGCTGTCATGGCTCCTGTCAGATAATACTTAGTAACTTTTTAAACTTCTGTCAGAAAATCTTTGTATTTCCTTATGTATAAATGGCGTGGGGGACGTGCACAACCTCCTGACTTCAAAAAGGGAAAAGAGTATCAAATTCAACATCAGGCCAAGGCCAATTCCTAGGAAGTGGAGGTCAGACATGCCTCCATCCAACAACCGTCTTTCTCAACCTTCTGCTGACATTAATCTTCTCCCCCATAGCAGTTTCGACTTCTTCGCTGGATCCAATAATTCTTTGCATCTAGAAGCACAATACTCACGATTATGGGGTTTATTAGGGACATTAACAGGTTACAATTGAGGATCAGAAATGGGACATGTCTCTTCTGGTCAGAGCACTTGCTGGCCTGTGCTCAGTCTGCTTGCTGGCCTGCCTGTCTCTGGTCATTGGCCTCTGCCCTACTCAGATCTGTGTATCAGTAAACCCTAATTTCCCCAATTAAGTGGTTAGAAGTAGCCCATTCCATAATTGAACATTCTTGACCAAAGGCACTCAGTTTTCTTCACTCTGTGGGCTGGGAACTCAGTCTTGGGCTCTTGGCAGCTCCTCTGCCATGTACATCTGGTGCCCTGGCTCTCTGTCTCTTGGATTAAGAAGGTCCAGTGTGCAGGAATCTTTGGTTCCAAATGATATGCCCCATTCTTGGCTCTTCACTCTTTTTTTTGGCTCTTCATTCTTGATGGTAGTTAAGATCCCTTGTTTCTGCTTCTGTAATGGCTTATTTAAAACTCCCCTGTTTTGATTTCTTATCTTGATCAAATAGTTGAGTCTCTGTTTCAAATGATCCTAGGTTGGACCTACCATTAAATTTTGCCCAGCTGGGATGAACCACAAAGAATTTTTTATCCC